TTGATTACATTTATAATAAATATCCTGACTGATCTATCTCTGTGGAGAGAAAAGTCTGTGTGCAGAACGAGCTGATAAATATGAGACAAAATACACTTAATGTTCAAGAAATACACTGTAAAAAATCATTCATGTTATTGTTAATGTCTTTTATTCATATTTGTTGTTCAAATTGTTTTCTGTACTGCTTTGGCAACATAGATTGTTGATCTGTCATGTTAATAAGGCCCATTTAAATTGAATTGAATTGAATTGAGAGGGAGAGAAGGACAGAGGGAGAAAGGGAGAGAGAGAGAGAGAGAGAGAGAGAGAGAGAGAGAACAGAGACAGAGAGAGAGGACAGAGAGAGAGAGAGAGAGAGAGAGAGAGAGAGAGAGAGAGAGAGAGCTGTAGAATAACAACTTAAAGAAAAGGAAAACAAAGCAGTGATGACTTTGGCTGAAAAATCAGACAATAAAAACCTCTCAGACGTCTTAATGACTCAGGTCACACACACACACACACACACACACACACACACACACACACACACACACACACACACACACACACACACACACACACACACACACACACACACACACACACACACACACACACCACACACAACACACACACACACACACTCTGGGTCGTGGTAAACTATGTGTGGTGCAGACGTCTGATCGGGAACATTACAGCTCTGTAAATCTTCTGATGGGAGCTCCATGCAGCGCTCGCTCGCCCTCAGAGGTTAGCGTCTGGTGTCATGCTCCTCGATGTTCGGGGACAAACACATACCAACTATCAAACATTCTAATCGTGGCCTGTGGCTGCAGGACAGACACACTGCAGCATCATGCTCACAAAGACGTTTGTGTGACTGCAGTGTCTGACCTCACACATATAGAGTCAGATAAACTCCGCCTCCAGCTGTGTGAGGAACAAACTGTTCACTTGTTGTGTTGGAGATCTGATCTGCACCCCCTCCCACCCCCCCAAGGGGATAATTGAGTTCATCCAGGACAAAAACACTGAACTAATCACTGAGCAAATCATTTAGATCCACAAAGAAGATTGAAGAGAAGAGAGCAGCGTGGAACACTCTGACCTCCTCGTGGACTCACTGGACTCAGACAAGAACCTCCACAGACCCTCAAAACATCAAGAGACCCTCAAAACATCCAGAGAACCTCAAAACATCTAGAGAACCTCAAAACATCCAGAGAACCTCAAAACATCAAGAGACCCTCAAAACATCTAGAGACCCTCAAAACATCCAGAGACCCTCAAAACATCAAGAGACCCTCAAAACATCAAGAGACCCTCAAAACATCCAGAGAACCTCAAAACATCTAGAGAACCTCAAAACATCCAGAGAACCTCAAAACATCAAGAGACCCTCAAAACATCAAGAGACCCTCAAAACATCCAGAGAACCTCAAAACATCTAGAGAACCTCAAAACATCCAGAGAACCTCAAAACATCAAGAGACCCTCAAAACATCAAGAGACCCTCAAAACATCCAGAGAACCTCAAAACATCGAGACCCTCAAAACATCCAGAGAACCTCAAAACATCAAGAGACTCTCAAAACATCAAGAGACTCTCAAAACATCCAGAGACCCTCAAAACATAAAGAGACTCTCAAAACATCAAGAGACCCTCAAAACATCCAGAGAACCTCAAAACATCAAGAGAACCTCAAAACATAAAGAGACCCTCAAAACATCAAGAGACTCTCAAAACATCAAGAGACCCTCAAAACATAAAGAGACTCTCAAAACATCCAGAGACTCTCAAAACATCAAGAGAACCTCAAAACATCCAGAGAACCTCAAAACATCAAGAGACTCTCAAAACATCCAGAGACCCTCAAAACATAAAGAGACTCTCAAAACATCAAGAGACCCTCAAAACATCAAGAGACTCTCAAAACATCAAGAGACTCTCAAAACATCAAGAGACCCTCAAAACATCCAGAGAACCTCAAAACATCAAGAGACTCTCAAAACATCCAGAGACCCTCAAAACATAAAGAGACTCTCAAAACATCAAGAGACCCTCAAAACATCAAGAGAACCTCAAAACATAAAGAGACCCTCAAAACATCAAGAGACTCTCAAAACATCAAGAGACTCTCAAAACATCAAGAGACCCTCAAAACATCAAGAGAACCTCAAAACATAAAGAGACCCTCAAAACATCCAGAGAACCTCAAAACATCAAGAGACTCTCAAAACATCAAGAGACCCTCAAAACATCCAGAGAACCTCAAAACATAAAGAGACCCTCAAAACATCCAGAGAACCTCAAAACATCAAGAGACTCTCAAAACATCAAGAGACTCTCAAAACATCCAGAGAACCTCAAAACATAAAGAGACTCTCAAAACATCAAGAGACCCTCAAAACATCAAGAGAACCTCAAAACATCAAGAGACTCTCAAAACATCCAGAGACTCTCAAAACATTAAGAGAACCTCAAAACATCAAGAGAACCTCAAAACATCAAGAGAACCTCAAAACATCCAGAGACTCTCAAAACATTAAGAGAACCTCAAAACATCAAGAGAACCTCAAAACATCAAGAGAACCTCAAAACATCCACATCCAAAATGGAGAGAGGTTAGAACACAGAAAGGTTTACAGACCCATGCAGAGCTGGATAAACACTGAAGCTTCAGAGTCCACCACATGGTGACCTGAGTGAACATCCACTCTAGAGAGGAGGGGGGGGGGCAGCTCTCTATGATGTTTAGAATTTGGACTGCAGTACCCATTTTAAACACCAGGGGTCATACTGCTCCTTCAATAACCTTTAAAATGTGTTTAAACAGCCCGGGGACTTTTTGAGGAGAAGTGTTAAGAAGGTTCTTCAGAGACCTGCAGAAGCATCTCAGGAACTTTGAAAGCTGGAGAAATCTGAAACTCACCGAGAACTCCTGAAGTCTCCCCGAAGATCGTCAGAGGACCCTGGTTAGACCTCCTCTCAGGTGTTTGTGATTGGACCCTGGTTAGACCTCCTCTCAGGTGTTTGTGATTGGACCCTGGTTAGACATCCTCTCAGGTGTTTGTGATTAGACCCTGGTCAGACCTCCTCTCAGGTGTTTGTGATTGGACCCTGGTCAGACCTCCTCTCAGGTGTTTGTGATTGGACCCTTGTTAAGTTGGTTAGTCTACTTGATGACCTGTTGTCATACTCGGTCTGTAACTTGGAGGGTATGGTCAGGTTGGTAGGGTAACCCCATCACATGATTAATCCTCCCCACAGCTCCTCCTGTCTAATCAGCAGGAAGTGTTAAACTCACCTGTGTGTGTGAACGGAGGCTTCACACTGAGCAGTGAGCCTGCAGCACCACTCAGAGGTCAGAGGGGGGTACTGCACCCTCACACATCTCTCCTCTGGGAGTCAGTGAATCAATCATACTTTCTTCAGTTTCTCTTTTTATTGTTTCTCTGCTCATAAACAAACACTGGATTATTTACATCATCTGTTTCCTGCTTCATGACGTCCATATGTTTACATCTCAGCTCCATCGCTCTACTTTTCATCTACAGAGACTCTAAATATGTCTGCTACTTAATGAAGGAGTATAAACGTCATGAAAAAGAGAAGAAGAGTCTGCAGAGATGATGAAGATTATTTACAGAACAGGAACGTTTACATCAGAGAACAGCTGATCCTCAAACTGGAATATATCCAAACAGTTTAATAACAAGAAACCACATCAGCTGATTCATATTTATATCATGTTTCACATCATGTACCTGTCCGCCCGTCTGTTCAGTTATTTTAAATCTCTTTCTGACTGTACAAGTTCTAAGTGATTCTGTTTTAATGTCAGACTGATGGTTTGGTTCCTCTTAGTGAGTATGGAAGCCCAGAGAGGACACACTTCAGGAGAACTTTAAACACCAGGATTAAATTATTACATTTAAACATTCTGAAGTAAGAAAAGAATAGAAACGTGTTCCTCGTGCATTATTTATAAAACTCTTATCAAGCAAAGACCAAAGTAAGAACGTTCAGCGTCAGGAAGAAAACCACATGTCCCCTCCAGGCTGCTGTACTTCCTCTTCTGTTATAGAGCAGCCAGGTGTGCTTCATCCAATCAGATCGTTCAGTGAGGCAGACGAGTTCATCACCAAGTCTCCACCAAGTCACCTCCTGAAGGAGACTCCAGAAAGACCTCGTCCCCTCCCTCCTCCTCCTCACTGCCCTCTTCAAAGATGGCCGTCATGGGGGCGGCGTACAGGCGGCCGCGAGCAGAGAAGCGCCGGCTGGAGGAGCAGGGAGGAGTGGTGGAGCGAGGACGTAAAGACGAGGAGGAGAGGAAGAAGAATGGAGAGGAGGCGGAGTTTAGGAGGAGGTGATTCCATCTGAACATCACAGACAAGTTCTGACTGCTGGGAGACACAGGGACGTCCAGAGTCAGGTGGGTGTTTGGGTCGTCATGTGGAGGCCGAGGGGGCGGGGCCAGTGACATCACACTCCTGAGGTCACCTGTGGATGAAGAAGCTGCCACTCGGAGCCTCTCGGCGGCCGACAGTCGAGACGATGACTCAGAGCGGCTCCCCTTCCTCAGCAGGAGGGCCTTAAAACTCTCACTCCTCGCTGACCTTTGACCTCTGATGGCTGAAGGTCGCATCACGCAGGGGAGGGGGTCAGTGGGGGACGACGGAGGGGAGGAGGAAGAAGACGAGGACGAAGATGAGACGCGTTTTCTGTCATCTTCTGATCCCTTTCTTCCAAACATCTTTCTTTTAGACCTGAAAAAACAGAAAGAGTCGCCCCGTGTTCTTAAAGAGACAGTCACCCCGTGTTCTTAAAGAGACAGTCACCCCGTGTTCTTAAAGAGACAGTCACCCCGTGTTCTTAAAGAGACAGTCACCCCGTGTTCTTAAAGAGACAGTCACCCCGTGTTCTTAAAGAGAGTCACCCCGTGTTCTTAAAGAGACAGTCACCCCGTGTTCTTAAAGAGACAGTCACCCCGTGTTCTTAAAGAGACAGTCACCCCGTGTTCTTAAAGAGACAGTCACCCCGTGTTCTTAAAGAGACAGTCACCCCGTGTTCTTAAAGAGACAGTCACCCCGTGTTCTTAAAGAGAGTCACCCCGTGTTCTTAAAGAGACAGTCACCCCGTGTTCTTAAAGAGAGTCACCCCGTGTTCTTAAAGAGAGTCACCCCGTGTTCTTAAAGAGACAGTCACCCCGTGTTCTTAAAGAGACAGTCACCCCGTGTTCTTAAAGAGACAGTCACCCCGTGTTCTTAAAGAGACAGTCACCCCGTGTTCTTAAAGAGACAGTCACCCCGTGTTCTTAAAGAGAGTCACCCTGTGTTCCTAAAGAGACAGTCACCCCGTGTTCTTAAAGAGACAGTCACCCCGTGTTCTTAAAGAGAGTCACCCCGTGTTCTTAAAGAGACAGTCACCCCGTGTTCTTAAAGAGACAGTCACCCTGTGTTCTTAAAGAGACAGTCACCCCGTGTTCTTAAAGAGACAGTCACCCTGTGTTCTTAAAGAGACAGTCACCCCGTGTTCTTAAAGAACAGTCACCCCGTGTTCTTAAAGAGACAGTCACCCAGTGTTCTTAAAGAGAGTCACCCTGTGTTCTTAAAGAGAGTCACCCTGTGTTCTTAAAGAAACAGTCACCCCGTGTTCTTAAAGAGACAGTCACCCCGTGTTCTTAAAGAGAGTCACCCCGTGTTCTTAAAGAGACAGTCACCCTGTGTTCTTAAAGAGAGTCACCCCGTGTTCTTAAAGAGACAGTCACCCCGTGTTCTTAAAGAGACAGTCACCCCGTGTTCTTAAAGAGACTCACCCTGTGTTCTTAAAGAGAGTCACCCCGTGTTCTTAAAGAGACAGTCGCCCTGTGTTCTTAAAGAGACAGTCGCCCCGTGTTCTTAAAGAGAGTCACCCCGTGTTCTTAAAGAGAGTCACCCCATGTTCTTAAAGGAACAGTCACCCGGTGCTCTTAAAGAGACAGTCACCCCGTGTTCTTCAAGGGACAGTCGCCCCGTGTTCTTAAAGAGAGTCACCCCATGTTCTTAAAGGAACAGTCACCCGGTGCTCTTAAAGAGACAGTCGCCCGTGCTCTTCAAGGGACAGTCACCCCGTGCTCTTAAAGGGACAGTCGCCCCGTGTTCTTAAAGGAACAGTCACCCGGTGCTCTTAAAGAGACAGTCGCCCCGTGCTCTTAAAGAGACAGTCGTCCCGTGTTCTTAAAGGACAGTCGCCCCGTGTTCTTAAAGGAACAGTCACCCGGTGCTCTTAAAGAGACAGTCGCCCCGTGTTCTTAAAGAGACAGTCGCCCCGTGTTCTTAAAGAAACAGTCACCCGGTGCTCTTAAAGAGACAGTCGCCCCGTGTTCTTAAAGAGACAGTCGCCCCGTGTTCTTAAAGAGACAGTCGCCCCGTGTTCTTAAAGAGACAGTCGCCCCGTGTTCTTAAAGAGACAGTCACCCTGTGTTCTTAAAGAGACAGTCGCCCCGTGTTCTTAAAGAGACAGTCGCCCCGTGTTCTTAAAGAGACAGTCGCCCCGTGTTCTTAAAGAGACAGTCACCCCGTGTTCTTAAAGAGAGTCACCCCGTGTTCTTAAAGAGACAGTCGCCCCGTGTTCTTAAAGAGACAGTCGCCCCGTGTTCTTAAAGAGACAGTCGCCCCGTGTTCTTAAAGAGACAGTCGCCCCGTGTTCTTAAAGAGACAGTCGCCCCGTGTTCTTAAAGAGACAGTCGCCCCGTGTTCTTAAAGGATCACAGGATCTCTGAGCGACCAAACATCAAGATATTAAAAACACAAGGAGGGAATAAACACAGGGCGGGACTCTACTGACGTTTGGACCATGTGGGATCCATCTAGTTCAACCTACCAAAGTTCACACTACACCTACTGCACACCGAGTGACCAATCACAAGCTTTACCTGCAGATTAACCCCGCTCGTTCACGCTGTGCCTTCCCATAATGCACTGCTCCACAGAGGAAGAATCAAGCAGACACATGAGGCTGTGCACGACTGGTTAAAGCATTAGATGTGTGTGTGTGTGTGTGTGTGTGTGTGTGTGTTCCTACCTGTGGATGACAGCAAACAGATCGTCTGTGGGTCGAGGTCGAGCGGAGGCTAACATCTGATCAGCTGACACTCTGACGAACAGATCAGCTGACACAAAGAGAGTAAACAGGAAACAGAGAATTGAAGTTTAAATAAATTAAAGTCAGATTATTCTTCTGAAGCATCATCAGCTTGAGGACGAGACACGAGCTACTTTGTGAACATCTCTGATTCAGACGCTCTCTGACTCCACTAGCTCACAGATGAAGATGTCACTTCCTGTCACAAAAACCACAGGAAGGGAGGTCAAGACTCCAGAATTTAAAAAGGATCACATGGACACAAGCAACCTACAAATCTAAAAACTCTTCCACCCTGCTCTAAGGCAGAGGAAGACAAAAGCACCCACTAAGACTGTAATACCACAGTTCCACCAAAGGGGGGGGTAGAGGCTACTCACCATCCTGACTTCCTCCATCCTTCATCAGCTCAGCTCTCTCCTCGGGCCTCTCTCTCTCTCGCTCTTCCTCTGGTTCCTCTATAAGAAGCTCTGGAAGGTAAAGCTCCCCCTGCAGGCCGTCAGTGGACGGTGCACTTTGTAGTGAGAACTTTTTGAGTCCAATCAGAGGGCAGCTCGTTCTTTCAGAGTCACTTCTGACTTTGTCACATTTTTTTGTCTTCCCCGTCGTCTGTCTCGCCGGCGTTGATGTCACTTCCCGTTCGTCTCCAGATGAGGACGAGGATGACGAGGACAAGGAGGATGATGATGATGATGATGAAGAAGAGTGGGAGGGCTCCATCGATGATGTCATGATCAGCAGCTGCTTGCCGACTCCTCTCTTCCTCCTCTTTCTTGTTTTGTCTTTTTTCCTGGAGGTGGATGACATCATCATCATCATCATGTCCCCCCTCACAGCTTGGTCTTCATCTTCATCCAGCCAGGACCTCATCATCATCGTCCTCTGCTGAGATGGTGTTTCATCATCCTGATGGAGTCTGGTCCTGATGGAGGCCTCGTGACGGGGCTCTGCTGCTCCATGTGAGTTCTCCAAGGTTCCCCCGGTTCCGGAGGTCCCCCAGCTGTCTTCCATGGTGTTAGGCCACACCCTGCCATAGTCCCCATAGACGCCCATGGTCCCTAGGGTGCTCCTGGTCTGCATGGAGTCCCAACACCCTGAGGTGGTCTCCATGATCCCTGATGGTCTCTGTGACCCCTCAGAGATCTCTCTGCTCCTGGAGAGAAGAGGTTTGGTGGTTTTGGGTGAACTCAATAACAGATCCGGCTTCTTGTGTATTCTGGGTTTGAGTCTCTGAGGTGAGTCAGATGATGTGGGGTCTACTGGCCAATCAGAGGCCTTCACTGAGTGAGGCGGTGAGGTCATTTTCTCGAATCTATGGGTGCTTTGATTTGTGCTCACTGAGTCAGTGGGAGGCTGTGATTGGCCGGCTGTTCCCCTTCCGGCCTCAGGGGACGCCATCAGACTCAGGACGCAGAGATCAGGCTTCTTGGGCAGGGTGGGCTTCTCAGGTGAGCTGACTTTCTGCACGTCTGGACTCTTCTTCTCTTTCAGGGTTCTGGTTCCTCTGGGTCCGGTTCCACAGAGGGTCCAGTAGGACGACTCCACAGAGGATCCTGCTCTCTGTGCAGACTCAGACTCCTGTTGTTGATGCAGAACCACATGTTGGATAGTGAAGGTTTCTTCAGACATTCTGACCCAGGGACCATCAGGACTGGAGACCCCCCTCTCTTCTTCCTCATTGGTTAGCTTAGCCCCCGAGCGTCTCTGATCAGCGTAGCCCTGAAGGTCTTGAAGATACGGATCCTGGTTGTTTGTCAGATTGTAGTAATCCTGCTCAGGTTTAGCTCTGTTACTTCCTGGATCACAGACATCAGAGGATTCATCGAGCTCAGCACCGTCTGGTAGAACATGGACGCTGTTAGCATGGTTAGCATGGTTAGCGTTAGCGGACACTGTGTCAGTCTGCTTGAGTGTAGCATCATCAGCTAACATGGTGCAGGTCAGCAGGACCTCCTGACTCTTAATGGAGCGCAGCTTTATGCCCTGCAAGGCCTGGGCGGTGACCAGCGGGCAGGGGGGCGTGGCCACTCTGACACCGCCGCCGCAGAGGGGAGACGCAGGGGGCGTGGCCACTCTGACACCGCCGCCGCAGAGGGGAGACGCAGGGGATGGCAGAGAGGGGGGTGGGGGAGAAACATCTGGAATGTCAGACCTGATAGGAGGTGCAGTCAGAGGAGGCTGGGAAGATGATGATGTCATGGATGACAGCAGGGCATGATGGGAACTCTGTCTGATGGCGTAGGAGTACGGAGGAGGAGGAGGTCGAGAACATACCCGAGGAAGAGGAGGAGGAGTGGGGAGGGATTTAGGTGGGAGAGGGGGAGGGGGAGGAGGAAGAGAAGGAGCAGCAGAGGGTTTGAAGAAAGGAAGGGGAGGAGTCTGGAAGGGACGAGGGAGGGGAGGAGCCAGAGGAGGAGGAGGAGGAGGAGGAGGAGGAGGAGGAGGAAGAGGAGAGGACTCACGATAGGGGGAGAAGAAGACAGAAGAAGGAGAGGAGCATTCTGGGAGAGGAGGAGGAGGAGGAGGAGGAGGTAGCTGATGCTTGGCAGCGGTTTCTGAGGAGGTGCATGAAGAGAGGGAGGAGGTGGAGGAAAAAGAGGAGGAGGGGGAGGAGAAGAGAGAGGACTTACGCTCTGGTACGGGGGGTTTTGGTCGCCCTTCACCCTGAGACCTCATCATGGGCAGGGAGGAGACCACAGGGGGGGAGGGGAGGAGAGAGGGGAGGAGACAGCAGGGGGGAGAGGGGAGGAGAGAGGGGAGGAGACCACAGGGGGGAGAGGGGAGGAGAGAGGGGAGGAGACCACAGGGGGAGAGGGAGGAGAGAGGGGAGGAGACAGCAGGGGGGAGAGGGAGGAGAGAGGGGAGGAGACAGCAGGGGGAGAGAGGAGGAGAGAGGGGAGGAGAGAGGGGAGGAGACCACAGGGGGAGAGAGGAGGAGAGAGGGGGAGGGGGTTGGAAGAAGACTCTGGAGCTGGCTGTGAGAGGGGAGGATGGAGAAATGGGGGAGGACACGGGGGTACCAGGTGTGGGGGTGTTGGACTGGCTGGAGTATCCACTGGAAGGAGAGGTGAGACGATGTAGCCCCCCCACAGAGGGCTGCACCTCCTCCTCTGAGGGTTGGGTGTGGGACCCCCCAGTGGAAGGTGCGGTCTGGCAGTCCTGGATCAGAGGTTCAAAGGAGGTGACGCTCCCACAGGTCAGCCCACTCTGACGCCTCCTGGTGCTCCGAGGCACCCAGGGGTCACTGAAGCTGGGAGGAGACCCGGCTGCTGTGGGGTTCTTCTCAGGACGGGGACCCCCCTCAGGACGGGGACTGCAGGAGGAGCGCGGAGGTTTGCTACGACCCGGGCGGCGCCTCAGAGAGTCCGATCGTAGCGGTGGAGCGGGGGGACGCTTGGACTTGCGCAGAGAGATGCTGCAGGTGGACGTGCGTGAGTAGGAGGAGGCGGAGCTAGACTTCCTTTTGTAGCGAGTTAGTGAAGGGGAGGAGCTTATTGAACACACAGAGCTGCTGTCAGCCTGATACAATGAAGAGCGACCGGACGAGAGCGCGGGATCACAGCTCCAACCGTCTCCAGAAACACATCTCATCTCCGGGGTGGCGCTGCCCCAGTCCCCCTGACTACGCCCACTTTGGATACTGGAGCTGGGGGAGAGCGCCCGATAGGAGCCACCATCATAGGAGCACTCAGAATCGTGCAGGGTGGAGGAGGACAGATAGTGGGAGGAGGGCAGGCGGTGTTTGAGGGAGGAGGAGACGGGGGAGGAAGGTAAAGACGAGGAGGAAGGAGACTGTGAGGCCGTGTGGTCATAGGGCAGCAGGGGCTGGAGGTCACTGGGGAAACCCTGTAGATCCTGTGACTGGAGACAGAAAAAGAAGATAATTGGTGCTTTCCATGACTTACTGACTCGTAACAATGACTCGTCTAAAACTGACCTGGCAGCAGGATGAGGAGGCGCTGAGCGTCCTGTAGGAGGCGCTGTTACAGCTGGCCTGGGAGGTCAGAGAGGAGGTGGTCGGCAGGCGTGGGAGGCTGTGGAACTCTGAGGGGGAGGGGGTGTGGATCTCTGAGGGGAGGGGTGTGGATCTCTGAGGGGGAGGGGGTGTGGATCTCTGAGGGGGAGGGGGGGGTGTGGTCCTGACGAGAGCTGACCAGTGGTGAGGCGGTCAGCGAGGCCATGAGGCTGGACATCCCCTCTCCTCTCGGGGCTCGGATCCTTCTCTCCTCCCTGGATGTCTCCTGGTGTGCGGTGGTGCAGGAGGGGGGGGCAGGGGAGGGGGGGGCGGGTCGACCCACAGTGGAGAACTGACCCGGGAGAACCGGAGAAACCAGACGAGAGTCCGGTGAGGCTGAAGAAGAAAAAGAACCAATGAGAGGAGACTGAATGGAAATGAAAAGAGAGGGCGATGAAGTGATGTCATTGGAGGAGGTTTTACCAGAGTTTGGTCCAGAACCTTCAGGGATCCCAGAGACCGTCTTACGTCGACCCGGGTTACGAAGTCGCAGAGACCCCGAGTCCGTGTTACCAGCTGTTCTTCTAAAACTGGCCTGACGATCAAAACTCTCTCCTGAAGTGAGAAAGAGAAAAGAGATCTGAAGACAGATTTCAAGATCTACCTGAGTCCAGAGTCCAGAGTCCAGGTCCAGAGTCCAGGTCCAGTAGAATCCTGTAGTGAAGTGTTAGTCCAGAGTTCAGAGTCCAGAGTCCAGTAGAGTCCTGTAGTAAAGTGTTAGTTCAGAGTCCAGAGTCCAGTAGAGTCCTGTAGTAAAGTGTTAGTTCAGAGTCCAGAGTCCAGTAGAGTCCTGTAGTCAAGTGTTAGTCCAGAGTCCAGGTCCAGTAGAGTCCTGTAGTAAAGTGTTAGTCCAGAGTCCAGGTCCAGTAGAGTCCTGTAGTAAAGTGTTAGTCCAGAGTCCAGAGTCCAGGTCCAGTAGAGTCCTGTAGTAAAGTGTTAGTCCAGAGTCCAGGTCCAGTAGAGTCCTGTAGTAAAGTGTTAGTCCAGAGTCCAGTAGAGTCCTGTAGTAAAGTGTTAGTCCAGAGTCCAGAGTCCAGTAGAGTCCTGTAGTAAAGTGTTAGTCCAGAGTCCAGGTCCAGTAGAGTCCTGTAGTAAAGTGTTAGTCCAGAGTCCAGGTCCAGTAGAGTCCTGTAGTAAAGTGTTAGTCCAGAGTCCAGAGTCCAGTAGAGTCCTGTAGTAAAGTGTTAGTCCAGAGTCCAGGTCCAGTAGAGTCCTGTAGTAAAGTGTTAGTCCAGAGTCCAGAGTCCAGTAGAGTCCTGTAGTAAAGTGTTAGTCCAGAGTCCAGGTCCAGTAGAGTCCTGTAGTAAAGTGTTAGTCCAGAGTCCAGAGTCCAGTAGAGTCCTGTAGTAAAGTGTTAGTCCAGAGTCCAGGTCCAGTAGAGTCCTGTAGTAAAGTGTTAGTCCAGAGTCCAGAGTCCAGTAGAGTCCTGTAGTAAAGTGTTAGTTCAGAGTCCAGGTCCAGTAGAGTCCTGTAGTGAAGAGTTAGTTCAGAGTCTAGAGTCTGATTTTGAGTTCCACTAAGTCCAGGATCAGGTCTAGTCCAGTATCTCAGTCCGGTCTCTGACCTGTGATATTGATGGGGACGATGTCAGCTGGGACGGTCTCAGCCTG